CGCTGCAAAAATACTGCATCCCACATAGACATTACCCACTGGAGATGCTATACTACTCTGAGTAAGATTTCAAATCAACTTCGTATCGATATTATTCCACTCCCCGATTAATGTTGCTTTTAGTTCGTGCTTTGTCGTGTAAAGTCTGGAGTGCTGGTATAAATTTCAGGTAAGAATAGACTAAAGGTTTTCTATTGGGTTTAAATCTAGGCTGTGCAGAGACCGCACCTTTGTTTTGATGCCGCGACATAATCACCAGCATTTTTTAGATACCAGTAATTACCTACGCCAAAATCACACTATAAAATGGCTTAAGATAGATAATTTGATGTCGTTACTAGCATAAAGTGCCACTCCAGTATATGCGTCAGAATCTTGCATCCCACGCAGCTTATCGAGTTCAGTTGGGCCGTTGCTTGATGACGTACTCTGTACAGTCACGGAGCTTCAACCCCTAATCCGCTTACTGAAGTACCAATATTCTTTCCACAGATTATACCAGAAGTAGTTCTACGAGTCGAGTCCACCTTAATTAAATTCCTTTTCATCACTAAAGTAGACAAAATTCCATTCGTTTTTCTCAAGTTGCATGAGTTACAGCTCAAAATAAGTCTTTCTTGTCAAAAAAAGTAAATCGGAGTCGAGATGAGTCATTCGAACAAGGTTTTAGATGAGCGAGTTGTGTGATTTGTGTTTGATTAGGGATTACGATCGAGTTGGATGACTTCGATAATTTTGTTTTGACATTTGACATTGAAAAGTTTTTCAGTTTGTAAAGCTTTTAGTGCTATGCGCATTAGCATGTTTTTGTATTTCATCTAAAAACCCGACTGGTAGGGAAAAAGTCATTTCCCCCCATAAAAGTAACTATTTCACTCTATTCTTCCTTATTTTTCCATTTATTTTTATAAAATTTGAATTTCCACTTTTTATCGCTAAAAATGACTCATACCGCACCGCCGGTCATGCTTGATCCCCATTGGCCCATTTTCCTGTCAATCACCACTTTCGAGCTATTTTCCAAGGTCATTGATGGCCGGTCCCCGAACTGAATATAAACAGATGAGAAGTCCGCTTTCTTCGCCTTTCACGGTCGAGCGAAATATATAACCTCACCTGAAGGGCCAGTATTCTGCGTTCTCTCCGGTCGGGTTTCGGGTATCGTACTGGTTCGTGGGTCGCTTTTCTCGTTGCGGTTCAGTTGGAACTCCCTTTGGGGTACCGTAGCCGGGGCACTAGTGTATGGTCACTACTCTGCTGGGTCGTACGGTTCGGTTATTGGGTCTCTGCTGTCGCACCTATCGTGGATGGCGACTCGTGCTAGTTCAGTCGTATCGCAACATTACAACACCGAACGTATCAAGTGTTCGCTGTACCATATGCACCGAAACGGTCAATTTAAGCACCGTTTCCATCTACGACGTATTCACTCACGGAGCTTGTGGTAAAAGTCAAAGTTTAATTATAGGAATTACAATACCAGCTCATGTGATAGGATATTTACACACTTGAATCATTTCCCGGCAAAAAATAACCGCTTAGAGTTCCAGGTAGGAGATAATAGATAATGTAGTCGTCAACGAATTTGCGTTTCTTTTAGTTGTGTAGGAATGTGAGGCGAAACACTCTCCGCTTAAAATATTTATTAGTTGGTGCACAAATGATGTGAGATGGAAGGGTTTTCCAAGTACTTCATATTCTGACTGTAAAAGATTAGCGCCGGTATCGCAGTCGACACTTTTGAATCAGTAACTTGAAACGGTGTCCCCTAAGGTGTGCATTGTTCGATAACATGAGGAGCGGCCAACGTGGCTAGTTTGGGTTCTGCAGTATTTGGTACGTAGAAATCAAGTCTCCCCGAATTCAGCGGTACTGAGCAGAATATAGTCCTAATGATCGTAATCTTTCCTCATAGGTGAGGTAATCCAACCCCTTGACCATCTTGGTGGCCATCCTTTCTAGGTGCTCACGCATCTTGCAATCACGTTGCAACCATGGCCATACCTTTCCTCGAGGGCTTTCTGGTGTTCACTCCGTTTATGATCAGTGTCTAGCTGTTTCTGCTTAAAATATTGTGCCACAGTGCAGTTGGGACCTATTACACTGTCTGGCTATCATATGTGCGCTGACGATGATCCAACGAAGGACATCGCTTATGGATTTTTTGTTATCAGTGAGCATCTTCCATCGCGCCATAGTTGGCAATAACTTGTTTTGGCCTATTTGGATGTCTTTGTTCTTTCGAGGTCAGTGAGAATAACGTGAGCTTGATCGTAGCTTATATTAATGTGCCAACCACTGAACCACCACGATCGCCAGTTGTTGGAGTATGAAACCGAGGTGTGTGTGTGTGTGTGTGTGTGTGTGTGTGTGTGGAATACTTATGTTGCGGTGAAAATTCCGTTTTGCCGATATTTTCTTTAAAGTTAAAGATAATTTGACGCAATGTCGTATTTTGGCTTTTCATTCGATTGCCGTCTAGATGTTAAAATGGCGAAGGTTATGTATATGGGAGCGGAGATAAACGAGAACTCTAGTGGGGTGCAATCCTTTTTCGTACGGTATATATATGTTTAGATCAGTCGAATTCCTCTGGGATTCGTGCACAAAAATGACATTCTAGTATAGTCTTCAGTCTTAAATTTTTGAGGGCAAAGGACAGGGTATCAGCGTAAGCTCCGTCTGCAGGGGGTCGAAGGTCAGATCACATGTGGTCATCCTTCCATGTTCCTTTAAGGTGCTCATCCGACGCCGCTTGAAAGCAGCTTCAATTGTTTCCTTCACCAAAGCTGCTGGAAGGGAAATCCAGAGAGTAGTTGATCTCCGTGGACTGTCGTAAGACTAACGGAAGATCAGCTAACTGAAGTTTTACGTGAAGAGTGCGCTAAAATTCAATTGCTTTTCTTGTCCTACCCGTAAGTCCTTCTCTCTCTACTATCACACACACACCGGCTGAAAGTACCAGCCCGGGTTNAAACTCTGATTAGGGCTATGATCATACTTTGAACCCCTATATCAGGACTTATTGTGGCCCGTCCAAGACAGCTAAAGCCAGAAGAAAATACAGTTTAGTTTGAAGTTTGTGGCCGTTTTTGTTGGTTGAAGGAGCAGGTTGAGATGTCTTGCTGGAACAGTTCCAGTTTTTTGAATAAGCGATAAAAGTCGCACAGAAAACCACTTCTTAAACATCTCATTCTGCTTCACCGAAACTTCAGAAACAGTAGCGTTCCTGTTCAATATCACACTGCGTACTAATTCAGTACTAGTACAGCTGTAGCGACTCGGGCGTTTGTCTCACGTAGGATGCTTTGCAGCTTGCCTAAAGGATTTGTGGCGATTGGGTTTAAAACACAAACATGAATAACAAAAATAGCCCGGCCGCAAAAACTTCATCAATGAAGAAAAACGTCTGCTTTGATGTAGAAATAACTGTCCTCGACGAATTTCTTGGATAGTTTCCTACAGACCCGAGGAGCCAGCACCCAGCGTTCCAACCACAATCGTTCAAGACTATAGGACAGAAACAAAAGAACCAAGTTGTTAACAGGAAGGCATTGTGATCACAGCCGTGAATGCATTTGATGTCTTTGTGTGTGTTCCGATACACACTCGCGTGT